GAGAGAGACAGAGAGAGAGACAGAGAGATAGAGAGAGGCAGAGAGAGAGACAGAGAGATAGAGAGAGACAGAGAGAGACAGAGAGACAGAGAGAGACAGAGAGATAGAGAGAGACAGAGAGAGAAAGAGAGAGAGAGAGTGTGTGTAAAAGTAGCTGTGTAAAAGGTAAGAGGTCAGCAGAATGCATGAGCAAAGGTCTCCGCGTGAATCGTCTTGAAAATTTCTCCATGTGAAATTGTTTCTTCACATGTGGAAATTTTATAGCTCATCTATAATTTTCACTTACATTTTTTAAATGAATACAAAATAATGATATTTGCAGTAGTGTTTTACGTAGATACAGGCAGGAAGTTGCTTGTAAACTTTGTTGTTTAAGATATTTAAACATTACCTCGGAGAGGTTTTAGGCTGTTCGAATTTTTTTGATTACGACTTGTCAAAAGGTATCATTCGCACATAATCAAAACATGAACTTTTTAAAATTTTATTGTATGGTCAATTCTTTTCAGAATTTTTCAGGTTTTAGGCTGTATTTTTTTATCGCGCTGATCAGAAGTTACCATATGCGCCATAAAATATCCAAATCTAAGTCTGGAATATTGTATTTGCAGAATCGTATAATGAAGAGTAGCAAACTTCCCAATAAAATTTTGAAGAAATACAGACTTCACTCTTTGTTGCTTGTGACCCGCATCTTCTAGTAGATTAATAACTCGCAAAGACCATCTTTTATGAGTGCATACTACATATGAGTACATAATACATTGAGATTGAAGAGCTACAAGAAACAAAATTTGAATATATTTCCATAGGAGACATTTTTTATAAAATTCGTGTGGGATCATTTTTCAGAATATCCGCTATTGTACAAGTGCCTCTAAAAGCTATTTGACAACGCTGTAAACTATATTATTTCCAAACCCGGCTCTTAGAAATGATTAAAATATACATTGAAGAAGTGTAATAATAAAATATCATTATTATAATTTAGTGAAAATGCACTGAAAACCATACTCACTTGTCTGGCATTTTTCGGTTATAATACACGTGGAATTAGATTTTACATTTAACTACGTTTTGGTGACTTTTTCTAACAAAAATTTTAAATCTACAAAAGCGTAAAATTTCTTTTGAGTTTGTGATTCCCTGCCCGCCCGATTGTCTCTTCTTCTCCACCTGTCCGTAGGAGGTTAAAAATGTAAATACACGCGCGCCAACACAAGAACAAACACGAAAAAACAACAAAAAGACAAAAAGTTGGTGAGGGCGGTGTGGGTCGAGCGCGGAAGTCGCTGCACGTAGCGGGCGTTAGGCGCCGGGCACGGCCTCCTGCAGCTGGGAGCGCCGACGAAGCCGAGTAAGGGGCGAAGGGGAGTGGGGAAGGAAAGGAGATGGCAACAGAGGGAGGCGGGGGTGGTGGGGAAGAGGATGTGGAGATGGATGTGGTGAGGTGAGAATTGGTGGAGGAAGGGTGGTCGAGGAGGTTTGAAATGGATGGAGGCGGAGGCGAGGAAAGTCGGGATTGTCGGAGGCCGGAAATGCCGGTGAAGGGAAAAGTAGGCGGGAAAAGTTGGAAGCAGCGATGTAGGAGAAAAGTAAGAGGCGAGGAAAGTCGAGGGCGGGGATTGTTGGAAGCAAGGTTTGTCAGAGACAGGAATAGTTGGAGACTGGCTGGTGATAGAGGTGGTGTGAAAACGGAAGCAGTAACAAGGAGGGAGGACGCAGGATAAAGTAACGGTTAGAGATGTATACGTGAGTCTGAGGTGGAGAAATGGTGTAGGCGGAGAGAACGCGAAGGGAACGTAGAGGGGGGTGGAGGTGAGGATGAGATGAGGCAGGTTTGATTGATAGAATAATGTTGCTGGGCGCGCCAGCTGCAAGGTTATTAGTCCCGCCAGTAAAGTGCATGTTTTTTTGATCGCGAGAGGTGGCGAAGATCTTAAGCAGTTCGAGAGCCAGCACCGACCTACACGTCCGCTAGCGGAGAGATGTGGGAGGGAAGCGAAGATCGAAACAAGAAGAGGGCGATGGATGGGATGAAGCTGCGGAGTAGGATGTGGGGCGAAGCACGTGAACGTGGATGATGGGGCTGCAAAGGTGGAATAGTGTGACCGAGAAGAGTGGAGGATGCGGCGTGCTGAAGGAACCAGGTTTTGGTTTTGCAACGTGTTCCGAGGAAGCCGTCTGGGGCTTGGGGCGTGGGGAGAGGGGTGGCAGGGGACGGCAGAAGCGAGGTGGGAAGGGGCGGAGAAAGTGGATTCGGAACCGGCCTCCGCGCGCGTGCCAGGGGCGGGAGCCAGAAAGGCGGCGGAGGAGGAGCCCTCGTGGGCGGGGGAAGGGGCCTGGGGCGTGGGCGGGGCCGGGGGCGGGGGCGAGGGCTGCTCCATTGCGATGCCGGGGCCTGCGCGAGCTACTGGATTTCCGCAGTGCGGCGCCCAGAATACACTTCTCAATTGCGCCTCCCGCCCCGCCCCGCCGCGCCTCGCCCACTCCCGCCCTTGCGATTCGGCCCGCCAACTCCATGTGCATCTTGTTTGCTATTGACACCTACCCTCAGGGGCCAAAGAATCAATGACGTCATGGTCAAAAATAGGAATGCAAATAGATGCCCGCACATGCAATTGTTGCATTATTTATTATGTTTTATTATTTAACATATATTATTATATTAATTTACTTTACCCTTCGTAATAAAGAATGCCGATAAGCAACTGCTAATAGGGTTCTATGGGTCACATAACAAATGGTCTTATTTGATTTTTCCGGAGACTATCCACTTTCCAGAGACAATAACTGTAAAATTATTGTAATGGTATAGGAAGTCCCTTACTATGACTTTCAGAAGATGTGGAGATAAAGGCCGTGCTTATGCTAGACATGTTCCTCAATCCTTACTGTTTAATTCAATTTTCTGTTAAATACTCGTACTCATTTCGAAAAGGTGGCTAAAGTGGTCTCAGGTCCTCCCTTCGATTAATTCTTTTGTCTATGGCCAACTCTCCTTTTTGAACTTCTTACTTAACGTATTTTTTTATTATTTATTTATTTATTTATTTATTTTATTATTTATTTATTTATTTATTTATTTATTTATTTATTTATTTTATTTATTTATTATTTATTTATTTATTATTTATTTATTTTATTTATTTATATTTATTTATTTATTTATTTAATTTATTTATTTATTTATTTATTTACTTTAATTTATTTATTTATTTATTTATTTATTTATTTATTTATTTATTTTATTTATTTATTTATTTATTTTATTTATTTTCTTTATTTATTTATTTATTTATTTAATTTATTATTTATTTATTTATTTTATTTATTTATTTATTTATTTATTTATTTATTTATTTATTTATTTATTTATTTATTTATTTATTGGCGTTATCGATTCATTTTCTGAAGAGGTTATTATGGCTTATGAATGATAATTTAATACGTAGATGATAGTACTAATGATAATGGAGGGAATGATAATGAAGAAATGTCAAATGAGAGGCAGGGAAAGCGGGATGATTTCTTAGAATTTAGCTGTGAGCTCACTTTGCGACTTATGCGGGTAGCATCCCTGGGTCAACTTTATCTAAGCCGTTTACCTGTCTCCACAAAATGGCATAGTTTGACTGCAACCCGTTTCGTTTTTATCCTTATTGGAAGGATTAATTTCTGCGTTTACTCTGGTGTGCTTTCTATTACGAAATTGATAGATTATAAGTGATCCACTTCTGTCTATTTTCAAGAAATATTTGCATGCCCTTTAAGAGTGCTGCCAGCATTGAAAACCGCACTTAAAAGTTTGTTTTCCACAAACTTGAAACATTCGATAACGAGCATCATCTTCACCTGCTGAATTAACGTACACAAGTTCGAAGATTCCATCATGTTCATCTTTGTTCGAGGCTTTTCCTGGACTGGTGCTAGAACATATTTTTGCGCTATTTATGAATGGAAACTTTAATAAAAATAAAAAACAAAAAAAAAAAGACTCTTTCCGAAACACCGGATTAACGAAACGGGATAGAGTGTGTTTTCTCAGGTTACGAAAAGTGAAAGGGAATTAGCTGGAAAGCGAGGGCGAGTAAAACAGACCCCGGGATGTAGTCGGGCGATTTCCCCACTTTGTCCACCCCAAATTCCACAATGATTCACCGGGGATCGAACCACGGTCTAAATAGTGAAGACGCACATGCTGCCATTACGCCATGAGTCCTTCTAAAACTTTAATTTGAGCTTTAGTTCGGTCGTTCGACCATCTAAATGAACAAAAGATTTAAGGGCTTACAAGAGCCCAGAGATCGTAGATATGTTGTAACATCTCAATACAAATGTAAAGTCCTCGTATAAGTATGTACGTAGTACGTTAATGAAACAAATAACTCCATTGGCTCCCTTTAACTTAATTTTTTTTACTTTCTGAATTCGCCTCTTTCAATTCCTCAATACATCTTCTTCCATCTATCACTCCCGACAATCGACAGCTGACAGTGCATTCGTAGATTCATGTTTAATGTCATTGTTTTATCAAGTGAGTGCCGTCTTCCTAATCTTCTATCCAGTTTGATAGAAAAATTCTAAAAGTAAAGGATAGAAAAACGTTGCGGTAATCCTGGACCATCTACACAATCTTTTTTCACCATTTCATAACAATTTTTAAATCCTTCTTTTTATCACTCACATCCAGTTTTATTTCACTTTTGTATAGATTGTATGTGTGTGTGTGTGTGTGTGTGTTTTTGCAGATTAGAACATCAAAGAAGACCTTTTGCCTTGTTCCTAACGTTCGACTTCACATCACAGAATATCCTTTCGTCTCTTCTTCCTTTCTCTCCTCTCCCTTTCTCTCCTCTCGCTTTCTCTCTCTCTCTCTCTTTCTCTCTCTCTCTCTCTCTCTCTCTCTGTATCTCTCTCTCATGTTTCTCCTGAGACAACTCTCTCCTTTTCCGTATCCCTCTGTCTAGATACTTCCAATATTACAATTTACTATTCCTAAATTTACTTTTCTGTAAACTCATGTGTATATTTCTCCTATCTGTCTGTGTCTATGTTTAAAACACGTTCTAGCACCCCCATTATCCATCCATGAGACATGGGAATCCAGCTTCTTCCGTTGCTCAGTCGCTTCCTTCTTCGCTCTCCCTATTCTCTTGTAATTTCTTATTCATGACTCCTATGACTTGAAGTGCTTTTTTGTGTGGTATCAATTATTTTTTTAGAATTTTTTCTCCTCGAACTCTGCATGCCTATTCTGATAATTGTTATTCTTCATGCTGTTTTCATAGCTTATGAACTTGTCAGTTACAATCTTTTCCTCATATCTCTTCCCGTTTCCATTCGGTATTGTTTTTAATTATACCCTTCTCCCCTCTATTCTCACTTTTTTCTTGCCTATTATTCTTATTATTTTACTCTTTTGTCACTCATTCTGTAATTGTTACCATCCGGGTATCCCTTCTCTTATTTCCCTTACAGTCTGCAATTATTCTAATTTTTCATCGGCCTCTCAGTCTCTCCATTTATCGCACCACCTCGCCCTTCGCCCTTGGTGCTGTTCTCAGCACTAACCCTATCTCAGATTCGCGCCCTCCGCGCCCGGAGGCCCTTCCCCTCGGCACGTCCCTTCGCCCTCGGAGCCTTGGTATTCAGCGTCCGCCCTTCTTTCGCGCCCTTCCCCCGCGCCCGTGCAGCGAAGGGCCAAATCGAATTCTGCGGAAAACACTCCCTGCATCTCTAATCCGACTAACGCCGCCTATTAACCAACGCGCATCCAATATGGGCGGTTGCAACTTCTCGCCTCCGTTCCCATCGCCCTGGGCGCTCCCTCGCTCCCACTGCCACCTCACAGCCCCCCGCCCAGGCATATCTCCACCACAGCACACCACCCTCCTTTGCGCCACACTGCACATCCTACCCCCTCACCCGACACCCACCCTCGTCGCGCCACCCCCCTACACGCCTCCCCCGCCACCATCCCTGCGATAGGCCGATGCCACCCCCACAGAAGCACACCTTCTTCCGCCGCCGTCGCCACAGCCTCGCCCCTCGCCCACCCGCAACAGCCGCTCCTGCCCCGACGAAAGTCCCCCCAAGCCTTTCCGACCCTGGCCTCAACCCACGCTCGCTACTCCGTTCCACGGGTCCCTTCCTCCACCCCCTGCCCTGCGCATCTCTTCCGCCGCTGCTCTTCACTCTACCTGCAGCTACTCCGCTACCACTATGCCACCCAAGCTCTGCCACCGCACCTCACAACCGGGAAGCCGCCCTCCCGCCTTCTCCCCTTCCACCCCCGCCATCACCGTCCTCTGCGCCGCCCCCCTCACCACCCGCGCGCCTCCATCGCCGCTGCTCTGCCGCACCGCCTCCGTCCACTTCCTCCATCCTTTCCTCTAGTGCCATCGCACTCTGTGCTCCGATACGTCCGCCTTCTCCATATGCCTCTAC